TGGAGTAACCCTTTATTACTGATCTGTCTACATCTTCAATGCTCAAAATGCTCTGTTCCACCTTGTGATGTCATGAAGTTTTCAAGTTAACAGCTACCTTTTACCTTTAGTGTAGCCTGATAAAGATTGACAATTCCAGAGCAGAAATGATCAAAATTATTCCAGCAAAGGTGTACAGAGTTTAAAAACATGGTGGAGCACAGTGGAGCTCCTGTGTTACCATATGACGCCAGGTGGAACAGGGTTTTTGTAGGGCTTGTGTTTTAAATGTGTAAATGAAACAAAACTCAACTCAGGTATGTGTTTGATAAGGAAACAATGTGATAACAGAGATCAGAAAATACTGCAACAAAAACCATTTCACAATATTTTTAAACATAGTGAAAAGTGATTCATGTATATCTCAATCTCCAGGATTCAAAACGCCATTGCTCAGACAGTTCCTGTTTTCCTCTACACTCCAAACACACCCACTACTCTGTACTTGCTACACTGTTTTTGTTCTGTGTTTTTTTCTTAGACAATGATACATGTAGGATTCAGCAGCACTGCAAACTTGTTTCTGGTACATCACTGTAGATGTTATTACAACAAAGAGGCTGAAATCAGTGTTGCAGTTTTTAACCAAAAATTAGATGATTTCTTTCTTTTATTTTGGATCAACCAAATAAAAAAAGAACAATTAAATAATAAATATAAAATAAAAATTTAAATAAAGATCCACTTGTGTCATAGATTATACATTTATAGTAGTCAAAAGCTATTTCAAAACAATAGATTATAGTTTTACTTATTAAAATCAAGAATAACATAAATAGTGAACTAATTTGCAGTTTCAAGCATAACTAATGACATTAGATAATATTGTGTATAAATACAAACTTGACATAAAACTGTTCGATCTGAAAGAGTTGTTTCCACCGGCAGTGTTTACTTTGAGCAGGAGCTCAGGTTACAGGAAGTGCTTTGAGGGAGCGTCCAGCACATTGTGGTTTGGAGCAAAGCTGTGCATAATTTTTGTCACTGGGGGCAACAAAAATTTTTTTCAATATACCACAAGATCTGCTGCTTATATACATTCTAGACATAAACTGTAAACTGACCAACTGAGAATAATGTCCTGTACCTCTCTGTCACTTTGTGTTAGATGGCAACAGAATAAATTAGAGCAACAAAGAAATCAGAGAAAACTCCACAGATGACAAAGCTATGCACTACAGGGCTGTAGTCGAGTAGCAGAAATGTTTGGTCGACTAAAGACATGGCCTGTGCATTAAATGAATTAAATGGTGTAGCACTGGCAAAGGCTCTGGCAATTATTAGGATACTGAACAAAAACTAGTACACATAGCAAACTGCATCATCATAAGTGAAAAAGCAGATTAAACTGTCCAGCACTATCAGTATCACTATGTAATTTTTTTTAATGTAATTTTGTTCAAATATTTAATAAAAAAGATGGTGGGCACCCACTCAACACTCGGGAGACCGGTGTCCACTCTGGGCCATTCTTTATCTGATGATTCCGAACATTATAAGTCTCTTCAGCCCCTCCACCCCTTCTCAGTGGTCCTTGCGTTGTTTTGGATGGGTGCCATGTGGGGTGGGTGCTCTGCTGTCTGTGGGTGCTGTCCTCTAGGCCTCTTGTCTTGATTGACATGTCAAGTATTTTCCTGAAGCATCAATCACAGTGCATCTATGGGCTTTGATAGCACTTTGGTGGCAACGTCCCCTCTCTGGTGCAGGGATAAGAGTTGACGAGCAGGAATGCCAGCAGATAAAAAGACTTTAACAGATGGAATGTGTTCGGCAGGTTAAAAAGAGCTTTTTATCAGAGCCCTGTCAAACTGTCATCATCGCTATGTTTTGAAGAGGAAAGCCTGCATTTCACAAGTCACTTTTGTAATCCCACATTGAGACTGATCTAAAACACAGGTCATATTATAACATCAGCAGTTGATACGTTAGCTTTGACCACCCGCAGAAGACGACAGTGACAGACTTGTTCAACAGAGTCCCATGAGAGTTGAAGTGGCTATTATGTATAATGATCACTGGGCGTTTCGGTTCACACTCTGCCATGACTTCAGCATGACGGACAGATGGAGCTGATGTTCAGAGGGAAAACATATGGGAGATGGGCTGGAGGCAAGTGGCTCAGATGGGACACTCACACAGCCCTTTCTGCTGCATCATCATCATCAGTGTTAAAGGACTCGTAAAGAGCACTAAACTAAAGCCCTATACACTTTAGTTTACTTGCACTATCTCTGTGTCTGGAGAAACCTATTCATTTAATATAATTCAAATACTTGGTGGTTTTAAGTTGTACTGTTTAGAATGTTTACTTTAAAATAGTGGTATTTTTTAAGCTATCATGTGTTACATTTTTTTTCCTTTTCGTTTGTCTTACTTAAGCAAATTGTCTGGCCTTTGGGATAGTTTGTTTCAATTTGACCAGTCCAGAGTGTCTGTATTCTATTCAGATCAGTGCTGTCCATCCAACACATTTTGCCACAATATAAGATTACTGTCCACCAAACTGTCATCCTAATTTACTTGAAAATGAGTCTTTCAAAAGAGTACTACAGTCATCACATGAGGACACACAGGTCCCCAGAGCATCTTGTTTCTATCCTGTTCATCAGGTCACAGCACACCCCTTTGGCTCAGTGGACAGTGTGCAGTGTTTTCACTGAGAGATGGGGTCTCATTGTGTTCCTCCATAATATAGCTCGCTGTCAGAGCTGGAGTGGCAGTCTGAATTGCTTCAGTCAGATAAACACTCCCAGCATGCATTGCTCTGTGCTGCACTGGCAGCCTCCTGGCAGCATTGTGAGGTGTCGCAGTTCAGAGAGAGTTGTGATGACAATCCTGAAAGCAGGAGGCACACTTCAGCACCACATTTGTGCTCAGTGCATAAGCAGCAGTGACACCACCTGAAACTTTCTTACATCGAGTTTAATATGGTCACCCTCCTTTCTAGGATTTTTACATTTAACATTTTGTGTCAGTGGATTGAGCAGCAACAGAAGAATTTCAGTTTCAATTCAGTTTAATGATAAGTAAATTGATGTGAACTATGTCCTCCAACTGCATTTGAAACCTATACTTGTCCAACAACTGCAGTACACCATGAGTGGCCATGTTCTGTCACTTCAAATCAGAATCAAGCCCGACCAAAACACAGGTGGAGCCACAGAGAGCGAGAGCACAGAAACGGCACAGGAAGAGCAAGGCAGAGAGAGATGTAACCAGCAGAGACTGTACAATAAAGTGTGTTGCATGAAAAATTGCACTATTTAAGTCTATGTTATCTTAATGGCTTCACCTACAGTCTTATCTCAGCATGTTATATTTCAATACAGACACATGTAACTGAAAATGACTGATCTGGATAAAAAGATCTCATTAAGATGAGAAAATTATCCTTTGATTTAAACATGTCGTAGTTTTAGGCAAAAGTATTAACTGCTCCTTCATCAAGATTGTCCTGATTAATTATACTGATATGATTTTGTGTGATTAACAGTGGGTGTGTTAAAGTTGATGCAAGGCAAGTATATATAGGCTTAATCAATATGACACAATAACTACAGTATTTAACCCAGGTTTGTTTAATGCTGGTGTTGGTATTAAGATGAATATGCCAGAATAGTTTTTTCATAAATTTAAATGATCCAAAAAAAAAAAAAAAAAAAAAAAAAAAAACACCACCTCTAACACCATCACATTTTGAGTCATGTTGCTTTTTGAAAACAATCAAAGAGTTGGTTAACAATGATGCACGTTCCTAACAGAAAGACATGTTTTACATCTTTGGGCCAAAAGCCAAGACCCAGTGTTAGTAGGGGTCCGTTCTGAGGTCAATACTACAACAGTGTAAACTAATGATCCAGCAAATTCCCTCAGCCAGACCTGCCTGTGTTCTGTGCATAGCTTCTCCTGGCCTCTCTCTCTCAAACACCCCGCTGAGCTGCAGAAATGAGAAACAACTGAAGCCTCGGCATCGCTGGGTCTGCTCCTACACTCACACAACTCATACACCACTGCTTATAACAGACCAACTTTGGTGCTCCTGATTTTGCCTTTCAGTGCCTTATTCATCTGGTCTCAAAACATTCTAGAAGTGTTTCCTTTGTTGTGGTCTCTGTATGAACATCCAAAGACACCTTACTTTAAAATAAATAAAATCCCAAATAAGAAGTCCAACAATCTTCAAGACACACCAGAAAATATCCCTCCAGGTAGCACACACAAAATTATTAGGCTAAGCTTTTCATCACAATCTCACCTAGCCACATTCTGTATGGCCCTGCCCAGCTGAACTATGTTAACTGAAATAGTCACACAATTATTAAAGGGACCTGACTAAATCTGATATTTAGGCTACTTACAGAAACATAGTGAAGGAAATATACAGTATTATGATGGCTAGTCTATCATAGGCATAACATTATCCAAACTTGATATTAGAAAAAGCCAGTTAGTAGGCTACCTGTCACAAAGCCCATCTGTATAGTCCCAAGTATCCGCCACAAAAGCCACATGAGTTGGTTATTGACTGAAACAACACACTGAAACTGCATACTCGGGCTAAATGACATTGTTACGCTCAACTCAGTCACTTTTTAGTTTGAGATGCAATTCAGATACACACTTAAAATAACTCACTACCCAAAAAGTCTTAAACCAAATATATGGCAAAACAACTATGAAGTAACGTTTTAGTAAATTAAGCAAGCTAAATGTAAAAATGTAACAAAAACAGAAAAGTAGAAAAAAAAAAAAAAAAAAAAAAAAAAAAAAAAAAAGATAACAGCAATAGTCAAAATCAGCAGCCCTAAGTTTGTAAGCCATGCACAGCGCTGTGCGGAGCCCCCAGCACGCCGCTGAAGCTCGTCTGTGCCCTCCCCTATCGCAGCTCAGTGTGCGACTGCCCCCGGCCGCTCGTGAACTCCCCTCGCGCCGCCGCTTCCTCCCCCATAAATAAAACTTACTTTTCTCTGGCTTGGCTGTCGGACGGCACGCTGCTGCTCTTGCCTTTGGCGTACATGCTTGCAGAGAGCCCCGATTGTCACGCACCTGTCAACCCATCACAACCTCCCTGGCACAGCCCCGTCACCATGGCGACACAAGCAGCCGCGGCTCCCATTGGATATCCTGCAGTCTAGAACCGCCCACTCACCATAGGAACCATCAGTGAGTGACAGCCGCTGGTCACGCCCACACGAGTGTATCCCCGCCCCCTTCAGCAGCCCTGTCTATCTGAGCTCTGCCTGTCTGTCAGCCTCTCCATCCTGTGCCTGATGGAAAGGCTCAGTGCTCAGTCTTCCTGACGTGCACACAGCCACGCTCTCTCGCTTCATTCTCTATTCTGTGCACAGGGGGGTTTGAAACCGTCCAACAAAATGTTTGAAACAACTGCCTTTGGTGGTTCATTTTATAGACAAACACACCCTCTGCCGATGACTCCAGAGTATGGATAGGCAACACTGAAAACAAATCCACATTTTAAGTAGAGTTTATTTAACTTATAATAGCCAACATTGGCCCTCATATAGCCCAGATCTGAGTATAGCAAATTGTAGTTTGTGGAGGAAAAAGTGTCACCTGGCTTTTGTGCTCGTCTCCCTGAAGACAATGTGCTCATTTAACCTTATCTTAACCATTTTATGGTATACATCCTAATTAAGTATTCATGTGACAGGTTTGGTCCATCCCAGTATTATTGTATTAGAGGTCATGGTATCTGCAGCAGAGAAAAAGTGCTATGTCATGCTGCTGTCCAAACTGGCAGACAGAAAGAGTCAACTGTATTCTCACCACTTCCTCATATGAGACAATAGCACACCTCCACACATGTACTTATGTCCATGTAATACACAGTGCCTCTAACTGTCATCCTAATTAAAACACTGTAGGCTATACGTCTGGCTCATTGACTGTGAATTTGAATTTCCTTATTTATTTCAATAGTCTGAACATCATTGAGTGCCGGGGCATAGGGGCAACAGTGTTGATGCTTATGCAATGCTCCGGTGATGTGACCCAGTTGGAGGAGCACTCCTGTCTCTCTCTCGCTCACTCTCTTTCACTCCTGTCTGTCTGCTTTACCTAACCACTCTCACCCCTCCCCTTCATACTCCTAATGAAGCTTGATTTTGCACAAGGAGAAGTTTTTGGTTTTAGGATGAGTCCCGACTGGGGGATCACCATGACAACCACTGACAGGCTTAACCAGAGCTGCTTCACAGGATAGAGGACTGAAAATTGTGTCACAAGAAGTCTATGTAGCCATGCTGGAGTGATTGTTTTTGCTATTATTGATGCACAAAGTAGACTGAGGAAAGTTCTTAACCTTAAACTTAAAGGTGCACTATGTAACTTTTCTAGTACTGTCATGTCCATGGAGATGTTATTGCATTTCCTTGAATGTTATGGCAATTCATCATGTCTAGCTCCATGGAGACAAGCAGTTGATGCCACCAGGCCAAGTTACAGGTCAGGTCTATCCGCTCACAGTAATATACAGTGAGGAAAATAAGTATTTGAACACCCTGCTATTTTGCAAGTTCTCCCACTTAGAAATCACGGAGGGGTCTGAAATGTTCATCGTAGGTGCATGTCCACTGTGAGAGACATAATCTGAAAAGTCCACCTCCACTCCATTTATTCTCCTAAATCAGATGCACCTGTTTGAGGTTGTTAGTTGCATAAAGACACCTGTCGACCCCATACAATCAGTAAGACTCCAACTACTAACATGGCCAAGACCAAAGAGCTGTCTAAAGACACCAGAGACAAATGTGTACACCTCCACAAGGCTGGAAAGGGCTATGGGGAAATTGCCAAGCAGCTTGGTGAAAAAAGGTCCACGGTTGGAGCAATCATTAGAAAATGGAAGAAGCTAAACATGACTGTCAGTCTCCCTCGGACTGGGGGTCCATGCAAGATCTCACCTCATTGGGTCTCAATGATCCTAAGAAAGTTTAGGAATCAGCCCAGAACTACACGGGACGAGCTGGTCAATGACCTGAAAAGAGCTGGGACCACCGTTTCCAAGATTAATGTTGGTAATACACTAAGACGTCATAGTTTGAAATCACACATGGCACAAAAGGTTCCCTTGCTTAAACCAGCACATGTCAAGGCCCGTCTTATGTTTGCCAATGGCCATTTGGATGATCCAGAGGAGTCATGGGAGAAAGTCATGTGGTCAGCTGAGACCAAAATAGAACTTTTTGGTCATAATTCCACTAACTGTGTTTGGAGGAAGAAGAATGATGAGTACCATCCCAAGAACACCATCCCTACTGTGAAGCATGGGGGTGGTAGCATTATGCTTTGGGGTGTTTTTCTGCATATGGGATAGTATGAGATTTTGGGGAACAACCTCCTTCCCTCAGTTATAGCAATGAAGATGGGTCAAGGTTGGGTCTTCCAACATGACCTGAAGCACACAGCCAAGATAACCAAGGAGTTGCTCTGTAAGAAGGACATCAAGGTTCTGGTGTGGCCTAGCCAATCTCCAGACCTAAACCCAATAGAAAATATTTGGAGGGAGCTCAAACTCCATGTTTCTCAGCGACAGCCCAGAAACCTGACTGATATAGAGAAGATCTGTGTGGAGGAGAGGGCCGAAATCCCTCCTGCAGTGTGTGCAAACCTGGTGAAAACTACAAGAAATGTTTGACCTCTGTAATTGCAAACAAACGCTACTGTGCCAAATATTAACATTGATTTTCTCAGGTGTTGAAATACTTATTTGCAGCTGTATCATACAAATAAATATATAAAAAAAAAAATCATACATTTCTGGATTTTTTTTTTTTTTCAGATTATGTCTCTCACAGTGGACATGCACCTACAATGAAAATTTCAGACCCCTCTGTGATTTCTAAGTGGGAGAACTAAATAGCAGGGTGTTCAAATACTTATTTTCCTCACTGTAAGGATATGTTTTATCTCAAGGGTTACAAGAGAATAATGCATGTTTTTACCATTTTTTTTTTTTTTTTTTTTTTTTTTGTCATGGTTTAATTGAAAGTAATCTGCTTTGTTGAGCAGTTTATAGTTCCTCCCTGATATCATGGACAGTGCAATGAGGCATGAGCTTTTGAGGGGTGGGAAAGGCGGGACCCCGAGAGATGCCAGTTTAGATTAGAAGGGCGTGGAGAGAACAGCAACAGGCATCATGAAGCTCGCCCCTATTATGAAGTACTGTAGTAGTACTGTAATTTCAACCTAAAATACTAATAAATTCATAGGTATATAAAATCAGTATATCTTTATGATAGATCCAAACTTGAATCTGTTTTTTGTATTTTCATTAAAACACAAGCAAAGATCAGTCTTAATTTTTACACTCTTTTCTTTGGCAAACAGTCTTTGTTAACTGAGCCTGTCTATTGACTATGTAATAATACATTTCCACAGAGGGTGTCTCTTAGTAAGAGCACTAATTTAGAAACAATTAGCTCTCCCACAAAATAACTTTAACTTCAAATGAACTGAAGTTAAAGTTGCCAGTTGCCAGAAGCTTTATAAATAATCGGCCTAGTACAAGAATACACATCAATAGTTGTGAGTTTGTCAAGGTAATATAAGTATACTACAGCCCTCAGCACATCCATTTACAAACATTTTCACTGCACAGATTTTGCATGTTGCCTTAAAATGAACTTATGCAATGAGAAAGCTGTGTGGCAAACTAGTTTATTAACCATTGTCATTATCTGTAATATAGACACAATGACAAAACTCACTTTTTCTACTAACTAAACAAGACACAGTCACCATACTGATGTACTCTAATGAGCTGTACAAACATTTTCTTTATAAAAACATAAAAGCAATGTTTATCATATAAATGCACATGGTTACTGAATAAAAACATTGAGCTTTGAATCTTTCAACTGTTAAATTTACTGACATTGTTTTCTTTATTTATTTTCTTTTTATTGTGGATGCATGACAGAGTCAGCACTAAGGCGACTGACAAATATGGATGGGACATGACACTTATACAATATTTCAACGAAATGAATATGCTTTAAAACAACAGAGAACAATTTGCATAATATGAGTCATTTTACACATCACAGTCTTGATTCTCACAGAAATCAAACAGCTGTTTAATGGTGTATTACTAACACGGGCAACAGATGTTCAGTTGTGTGTGGTGATTTGCACCAATACGGTAACTGCTTCTGATGTTCAAATTTAGCTGTAACCCCAAATGTGTGTAAGGTATTAAGGGTTAATTTTTCTTGTGTTACTGTGTTCACAAATGAGAAAAAAAAAAGTTTTTTGTCATGAGATAAGAAAAAAAAAAAAAAAAAAAAAAAAAAAAAAAAAAAAAAAGAAGAAGAAAAATAAATTATAACTCTTTTGTGAATTCTGAGCAGGGGTAACGTTACATTTGAAACTCGGAGTTGGTCTGAGCATGTCCTGAGTGTACATGTGGGCAGACTGGTGACATGTATAAAATGGGTTAAAATGCAACAAATAAAGAGTGAAAATATAAACATCTAAAGCAATTTGCACATGCCCTGTCGTCCTGATAGATAGTATGCAGATAGTATTTCCTCGTGTATGACTGAAGCTTGCTAGAGTTATCCTAGAAGTAGAAATCCTGCATTTCCCATGTGTTTTGTGTACAACTTTACATCTTGCAACATTAACATTTTGTACTGAAATCCGGGCTTCATATACTTTTAAATCTTACGCCTGTTTTACCATACTATTTTTCACCTGCCTCATCTACCCGCTGAGGGCACAGCAGATCACACCTATAGGTTAAAATATCCTCCGTCCTGACGACCCCTTAGCCCTGGTTGCTTCTCTAAACACACATGATGGATGGTCCCACATCAAGGTCAGGACAGAGGTGCTGTGTCCGTATTAACTACTCTATTACTCTGGTAGGCTGTCGGAGCCTGTGCGTCAAGAAAACTTCCTTAAGCTCCGAGGTAAACAGCTCAAGTCAAAGTGGTCTGGAGTATAAACTAATTCCACAGACACTATACTTCTGTTCAATGATGTAAGTTTAAAATAATAATTATTAAAAAAACAACAACAACAAAAAACAACAAAACAAAACAACAAAAAAACAAAGGCATTTTCCCACTTGAAATAAGTAAAAACACTGCACTTAACATAAAAAAAGAAAAATCTTCCGCCAAATAGGCCTATCCTGATGCCCTACTGAAACAGTCGATCCTTATGCTGTGACTCACTAGGGCATGGCGCCATCTACTGGTTATTTATTTTATCACTGTAACAATTTTAAGCGAACATTTGCTACAAGGCATATTGTCTTTAAAAGTGCACATAACATGGCATTAACATGTTTGCATATTTATCTTGCTCTGTCTGAATAATTAACAGTGCTTGTATATCAGCCCGTTACTTGGGCCAGGGTCGCCGCAGCATCATTCCCTGATATGGATCTATGTAGTACGGTAAATGGTTGGTGGGCGGGCAGTCCTTGGGTGGAGGGCTGTTCTGCTTTTACGCGTGCGCAGTATGCGTAAATTGCTACGTGAGGTCATGTTTTTGTCGTGTTGTGGTGTCGAGTTCTAATAATTTTTCAGGTTGATAAAAATCAGGAAATGGTTTACATTTAAAAGAAACAGATCGCGAGAGCTGATACACAATGTTCGAGTCTGGCTTCAAGAATGTCAACATAAATCTGACCTCGGCTAATTCGAGGCGAACATTCTCCTGCGGCGACATCGTCACTGGAACTTTATCGTTCGACCTCACTAAGGAGACAAAAATCACGTCCATCACAATGGCACTGTCTGGAAATGTAGATGTACACTGGAGTAGCGGTAGCGGAGGGAAGAAGAGACATCGAAGACATTTCTCAGCAAAAATCAACTTGTTCCTCTTAAAAAGCGGACTTCTGCTAGAAAACAGTGTGTATACTAACCCATGTATGAGAACAACACACATTACCACCCTGTCATATGTTATGCCGTGTGTTTTGTCTCTGTTGTATTAGGCCTTGGTGGTGGACCAACCAAACTTCCCCCTGGAACGCATGTGTACCCCTTCACCTGTCACATCCCACACGGGTACGTTGGAGATGTCTGACTGTGAAAGCTACTTACATTGTTACTCGGAGTCATGCTGTTAGGTCCTGCCCGCACGCAATGTAGTTTTTGAGGCCCAATATAATCTGTCAGCCCCATATGTCAGAGAGAAGGTAAACCAAAGACTAAACAGCTAAAGAGAATTCTTGACTACTAGACAACTAAAGAGACTACTAAACCATTCTTCCACAGATTAAGTATTATTTTTTGCAACAGGAACACAAATTTGCCCAGAAGCTGCTGTGACCCAGTAAATATGAAAAGGAATGCAGTCCTGCAATGTTTTATCTCAAGAGTCAACATGCACAACATATTTACAACATGTAACACAATTTTTCCACAGAGATTTCCCATCTACTTTCCATGGTGTTCATGGAAAGATACAATATCTTTTGACAGTGAGCATTGACAGACCGTGGCATTTTGCAAAATCCTTTGAGACAGAACTAAATTTTTTAGAACGAATCAACAACAAACCTGAACTGTGGGTAAGAACACTTTGTGCATAAGCATACCTTACCATTCAAGTTACATTAATTTTATTTTCAATGTAATGTGCTTGACTGAAATAAATCTTTGCTCTGTAGGCCCCACTCTCAGGATCTAACAGCATGTATGTCTGCTGCCTGTGCTGGGCCTCTGGTCCAGTTGAACTGACAGCAACTTTAGAAAGAAAAGCATTCATGCGGGGTGAGTGCACCCTCAGCTGTCTACTGGCTGGCTTTATTTGTCATTAATGCTTACATGTCAGTGCTGTGTTTTTACCAGGTGAAATTGTGAAAGTCATTTGTGAGATCAACAATGCCTCATCTCGGACAGTTACCCCTAAAGCTAGGTTGAAGGAGAGGCAGACGTACTACACCCATGGAAGACACAACCGCAATTCAGGCACACGAAACCTGGTCACTCAGAACGGAGAAGCCATTAAAGCCAACTCTTCAGATGTCCACAAAGAACTCCTGCTGACCATTCCCACCAACACTCACCTCACCATCTCTAACTGCCCCATATTAGAAGTGGACTACATGATTGAGGTAAAGTAACCTGTTGCCCCAAAATACAGTGCTTGAAATGTGTAATGTGAAATATTAATATAAGTATATACAAATTATAAATATAAATATAAATAAATATTAATATTGTAATCTATGCATTGCTTTTACAGGTTGTTGTTGATGTAAGAGGTTCCTCTGAAGTCATTGTGCGCTGCCCCATTATCATCTATGATTATAACATTTATAATCAGATTCCACAGCAGCCATAGACTCTGCATGTGCTGCACCATCTCAGGTATTTTTGGACAGTTTCTAAAACATGTCTCAGTCAAGAAACCAAAATCACACCAATACTATGAAATGGAATATTCTAAAGGTTATGATTTACACTCTGTCAGTACAATCATTGCTGACACAGTTAATACTGTTGTTTTTGCCCATGGGCAAAAGTCTTTACCTGCCTTGCCTTGAAGGAGCTTTGACTGCCACAAGAATGCAGAAAAGTTTTAAAATGAGATCATGTGACCAGACCTGCTACACTCAAACTGAAAGATTGTTTTATCCTTGCCTAAATGCTCTATGATACTGAACATTCATCATAGTTCCTTTGTGTGAAGTTAATCTATGAATGTTTTTCACACCATAACTGGAGCAGTTTAGTTGATCTCCCTAAATCACCATTAAGGTTGATAAGACACACATACACACAGATCTATTTATGTCAGATAAGACATAAATGTTCATAAAATGTGCATTTCATGACCTAAACACTGTTTACCTCAGCACACAAGTGACCAAATGTTCATCTTAGCAGAAAATGACACAGCAGAGACATACATACTCCATGTGACAGCTTGATTGTAGTACTTGTAGTGCTTTTCTTAAACAAAAGTGTTTTATCTGAATTTTTTCATATTTAAAAAACAAAATCTTTTTCACCATGTGCCATGGTATTTACAGTTGTGATAATGGCTGTTGACCAATTTCTTACAGTGTGTATCTATCAGAAGTAAGAGTAGTTGTACTCAAATAAGAGTCAGAAAGTATATGAGGAAACCACTAATCATGTAAGGGTAACGGTAAGAAATAACTGTCTTAACGTATCTGATTTATAATTTGAAGTGAATGTAATTACCAAACATTACATATATTACTCGAGTTGAAGTAAAAGTATGGTGTCAGAAAACTAATGTACTGAGAAGTACAATTTTATTAAAAAGTTACCCACCTCTGATCCTTTCTATCAACACAGCTTATGTTAGGAGTCTATTGAAGCAGGGGACCTTTTGTTCTGTGAACAAAATGTAGCTTACACTATTTCATGTTACATTTGAGAAACCTGGTAAAGTGCTCTTACATGTATTGCCATTTATTTTCTATAGCCATTGTTTCAAATACATTTTAACATAGTAGAAAGACAAAATATCTAATGGCCAGTCCAAACAATGTTTGCTTTGATTAATTGTGTGTAACATTACATGAAATACATTACTAATACAATGTTTTACCAGATATAAATGTTGTTGATGTTACATATTTGGATTGACTGCATGTATGACATGACAAAGAGTAATAAACTGTATAACAATTTGGCATGCTTGAAACCTGTCAGTTATATTTCCAAATGTTTAATGCTCAAATTATTGCGGTAGTAAGCTTCATGTGATTATATTTAGAGGCATATCTATATCTATATCTATATATATCTATATATCTATATATATATATATATATATATTATATATATATATATATATATATATATATATATATATATATATATATATATATATATATATATATATATAAATGTATGCTTGCTTCACACATTTTTATAACAGCCCCTGACAGACCTACCATTTAATCATTACAGCATTGCCCTTTCCTTGCTTATTGCAGCTGAAGATAAGAGAATCCTTAGTATCTCAGGTTAGTTCAGGTTGCTAGCCATAGCAAGTAGCGATATGATTAATGCAATTAAGAACTTTTCTGTGGGCTATAATCCTATCAATGAAAGTATCGTTTACTGCAGTGGGGACTACATTACAGGACAGGTGACACTGGAACTGTCCAAAGACACAGAAGTGAATGCCTTAAGCGTGGAACTAAAAGGAAACTCACAAATGTTATGGACTGAGGGACATGGAAAAAGTTCACAGACGTACAAGAGCAAGGAGGAGTATTTAAAGATCAAGCAGTTTCTCATCCAGAAAGACTGCGTTAAGTAACAGAAGACATATGCCAGTGTCTTTCTGAAGACATGTTACTTCTCTTCTTCTGTATTATGAACAATTACTGCACCTTGACCTTCAGATATTTGAATAATTTAGTTCAGTTTGTCATCTCTGTTCTTAATACCAATTCTATGCATTATTTATGTGGTGTTGGTTCAATTAAATTAACTCAATATTTATCCTTACTTTGTAGGTTCCACAAAGATGTCCTATGCTTCCTTGGGGAACTATACCCTGTACTTGCATGATGAATATTATTATTTTAAAGTAATGATCTGCTTAAGTCAATCTTTGGCCTCTCTACCACCCTTGCTGAATACTTGCACAAACACAACTAATGACTCTAAACTAATTTTGACTCAATGTTTTCAGGAAACAATCTTGTGGGCCAGGGCAGCACTCTCTACCACTTCAGCTTTCAAATTCCTGCACAGTAAGCCACTTGTAATCAAAACTCATCTTCACTAATAAGTGTGGAAAAATGAAACTGTGTGTCCATGTCATTTGCAGACTTGCCTCAATCTTTTAAAGGTACAATGTAAATGTAAAGGGGTAAAATTATGTACACACTGAAGGCAAATCTGGACAGACCTCTGAGAGCAGACAGGAAAGCAAAGGCAGAGTTCAACCTGGTTTCAAAAAGTAACATGGCCATTGATTCAAGCTATCTAATGGTAGCCACCAGCATAACCTTCATAATGCTTTTGTTTGATGAAATAACAGTATCATTTTCTGTCATAGGCTCCACAACATGGTGTTATAGATGAGAAAATGAAGCTTTTCAACTCTGGACTCTCAACTCTCAACAATGGATGTACATATTGAGAAGACCAGATTCCACCAAGGTAAATGTTTTTTTGAACTGAATGAGGGTGTATATGTCCAGTCTCTAGGCCTTTTAATGAGCTCAAGGTCCCCTGTTCCCCACTTTATTACATGTTGATTGCCAGTTTGAGAGCAGTCAGTATCAAAAAAGCAGTATCAACAATTATGGACTTTATGAAATAATGTACAATTGTGTTGTGTGCATTTAATAACATGCTTTATTCTAAAGGAGAAGGGATAAAAGTGGTGAGTCATCACTATCCCCACCACCACATACCCATCTCTCTTAAACTACAACATTATGAAAGCAGAGTACAGACTCAGGGTATGTGCAACATATACATTTTATTACCTGCAGCAAAATCAAACTTACACATGTGTTGTTTTTGCAGGTCTGTTTGGATGTCAAGTATGCTTTGGACCCTAAGATAAAGTTCCCTATTATAATACTATACTCCTGGCTTTGATACAAATATCAGTCCAACTTATGGATTTGAAACTTTCCCTACAGGGAATGACCCCTCTCCCTACTCTCCCTACTCTGGAGCACAGCCCTCAGCACCACCTATAGACTGTACACTTCCACCTCCCTATGAAACATGTGGGAGCTATCCACCATTGCCCGATTATGAAACTAAATTTTGAGGTTTTGTTTCCATTTCTATTGAATAACCTCATCTGATCATGTGTGATAGTCTCATTCTATTTTGGTATTAAGTATTATATCAAGACAGTTCCCTTATCATGTTTATATGATTTTACACTTTACATTGAGGAACAATGTTACGTTGTTATAAAACAAAAGGCGTAAGCAGTTTTTTCATTTCAGTGGTTAGTATGCAATGTATGACGGGTTTACTATACTGTAGAATTTTGGATTGTCAGATGGTGTCAGGTTTGATATGATAATGATTTAATAACAACATCACTGTTTTAGAATACTTACTGTAAATTATTAATAAACTACATTATTGGTTTTGGTTCAGTCATTAAACTCATTAAGCTCTGTTTATATTTATACAGTTTTTTTGGTAGAAACTTACATTTTCCCATTAATTAAAAAGCACACTGACTGCCTATTGTGTTTGTTACAAAAAGCCTATTTTGAAAAGTGCATAAGGTTAGGCATCTTACAGGTATAACCATATGTAAATGACTGCATATAAGGCAATTAAAACTGACAGAGAAGCCCCAAGAGTAAACTGAAAGGACAACACCCTCTGGCCTATGAAGTTCACATAGAGGTTAAGGTCTCATACTATCTAATTGGGATGTTTATTGTAGCAATAATGTACTTAGTCATAAACCCAGTAATATAATCATGTGACAATCGTGATGAATATGACTGATACAGTATATTAGAGAATACAATTTGTCTTACAACTTTCAACTTCATTGCTCAATTCTGAAAAGAAAAGGCTATAGTTATTGTACTATTCAAATCACTTACTGAGTGAGGTAGGCTATTGTTAGTATTCAAAGATTAGTCTTTGCATAAAACAGTGATTAAAGCTAAACTGAAAGGTCAAAGGTGGGTCAAGTTTTACCTCTCAATGGTCACCATTGTTAGAATAAATAATTAAGCTTAGCTATTTTCTATAATCACTTCTATAGTTCATTTTTGTACCGAGGTCATTTGAAGATTCATTTGAAGGGCTCTGATCACAGCTGTGAGACTCATAGATATATGTCAAGACAAATGCAGGATATTCCAATCTAATAGCTAAATAAATAGGACAAGAACTACTGATAGGGATGATGTCATGACATGTTAGCCAGATAAGCCCCTCGGATGGAGTCTGATTGGACTGTGCAATGTGCTAATATACCTGGCTGGCCTGTGCACCAACGAAGAGGCGCTAAGTCTAAACCGTGGTAACCTCCCACTATAGTTTGCATATAAAAGTCATTGTATAGGTGTACAACATGGAGTCTCTGCATGGGAATTGGAATAATTAAATTATTGGGATTTTGTTCGTTTCTGCTTGGATATAAATTACACTTGAAACAGAAATAAACATGAGAGGAAAAGGTTGTTTTCCTCAACACCATTGTAACACCCTTTAAGGGCTTGACTGCCCCGCACGACAGTTATGTTGGATCACCAGAGAACTATGGACAGCTAAGTTCAGTTTTATGGATTTTATTACAATAATCTGCAGAGTTTTAGTTTAAAAAGGGGAAACAGGTCACAGGAGTGGGAGAAGTCCATTGAGTTCATAAAAAGGTTAAAAACTTAGAGGTAGTCCAGAGGTCCGGGCTTTCGGTCGGCTAACATTACTCTGTGGCAGGCAAATGGCGGCTGGTGTGGCGCTTTGTCCCCAGAGTGCCCCAGTTTCACCCACGGAGTGGCCAATGTTTCTTCAGACTGCCCAGGACCTCCTGAACAGATGACAGCCAGGTGTGTGTGTGAGAGAGAGAGAGACAGCAATTAAAACAACATTATATGGCCATTGACCCACACCAAACAAAAGAAAACCCACACAAAGAAAAAACACACCCATTAAAGTGACAGAGGAATGATACCATAGCCCTGTTACACCATACTGTCACCAAAATCACCACATGTCCAGTATGTTCAATAAGACATCCATGTGCATTATGATAAATGGTCACATTTCCATATAGGACCTTTCCACCTTCAAGGCACTCAAAGAGCTTTACAACAAGGAACCAAAGAACCACTCACTCATTCACACACTGAAACATCAGTGTACGCAGACACAAGGGGTTAGGTGCTTTAAGTGTCTTGCCCAAGGACACAATGACAACATTCATCTATGGGAGATGGAATCACACTGCCAACCTGTGGGTCAGTGGATCTGACCACTCAACCAACGGTGTTTATGTCGAGAGCAGGATTCAAACCACCAACCTTAGGATCAGTGGACCAACTAAGCTGACGTGATTAATCAAAGGGAGCAAGATCACCATGACCATGATCCATGACCAGTGTTGGGAAGGTTACTTTTAGAATGTAATCCCCTACAGATTACATATTACACACCCCAAAATGTAATTTGTAACGTAATCCATTAAATTACTTAAAGTGAGTAACGTAATCTGATTACTTTGGATTACTTGATATTGTCATGTTTTTTTAAACGACATGAATGTAGCAACCACATCCTCAAAATTCGTGTTTGTTGTCTTCAAATTGTCTGAGCCCAAGTCTCCATGAATAAGCAACTGTTTGCTGTAGAGAAACAAAGACCACGATATCTTAATATAAGAGGTTTTGTCTGTTAAAAGACAGTAACAAGATAAGACTTTCCTTCACCAGATTAAAAAATATTATTGATAGAGAAATTATATGAGATCACCTTAAATTATGTCAACCTACTGTTAGGTGTCATGTTGTTTAGACCTGGTTTAGTCCTGGTTTAGTCCTGATTTTTAGACCTGGTCTAGACCAGGTCTTTAGTTCTGGTTTAGTCGTGATTTAGTCCTAGTTTAAACCTGCTTTAGTCCTGCTTTAGTCCTGGTTTAGTCCTGGTTTAGTCCTGGGTTAGTCCTGGGTTAGTCCTGGTTTAGTCCTGGTGTTAGTTCTGGTTTAGAGGCGCACAGGAGGAAGTGCGGTTTATGCGAGAAAACACGGTCCACACGCGGCGCACGAGACGGCGGTGTCCGCGCTGTAACTACGGAAGGAGACGTGGTCCGCGGGTTCTCAGGTTGATGACGATGATGAAGGTGTGTGTTTGTGTTTGTGTGTGTTTGTGTTTGTGTGTGTGTGTCCCCTCATGTGGCAGGTCACTATAGGACAGTAGTGCAGATATTATGAGTCTATGCAGGTTGTTTTCACCAGTGCCAGTAGCTCCGGTTTCACATTTAAGTTGTAGGCGATTTTATATTTGTTTTTTATTTATATATATATATATATATATATATATATATATATATATATATATATATATATATATATTCTATATATATTCACATCGGGAGAAGAATTTCCAAGACACAAATGCGTTTTTACCAATGCACTGCTGCTTCCACTGTGTGACTGACACCGCCAACTTTAACATGACGTTTACATCGCTCTTCCTGTCGCGTTCTGTTTGGGTTTCAGGCAATGAGTGAAATTACCGAAATAAAAAAATAAATAAATGGGATGTAGCACAAAATGTGAAAAAAGGAAAATACCGCCTTGTAATCCACTTATTTCAACAAAGTAACTAATCCAATTACCACTCATTGAAACAGTAACTGTAACGGAATACAGTTACTCATAATTTGTACTCTGATTACGTAACGGCGGTACATGTAATCCGTTACTCCCCAACACTGTCCATGACCTATCGAAAAGGGTTGATTCTCTTTCAAAAACAATATATGGGCACATTTTAAAATACATTGGTTATATTTTAATTTATATCCACATCAGCCCAGTTCTTTTTTAGATCAGTTCGATCAGGAGTGATGCGAAGATAATCCAAGGTAAAATTGTCGGAGGGAGGAGTTATGCATTTTAATACAAAAGTTATAGGTATCGTGTTACTCAAATTTGCATCAAATAGGCCCAGTTGAAGATATAGGCTACAAATAGTTGAAGATGGGATTCTTGGCTTTCTTAGTTGAAAAAGCAAAGAGAGTCACGTTTCACGATGTTCTGTGGTGAGCCTCTGCCGTTGCATGCCGGGGCATGATTGGCCAGGCTGTGCTGGGGCTCCTCTCCCCCTGCTGGCCCCACTGTAATGGCGGATCCGTGTGCTCCAGTCTAGATGAGAGGGAAAGGGAAAAGAGAAGATAACGCCCTTCAGCTGCTCAGCCGCACCGCGGAAGAAAAGAGTTGTTGTTCAAAATGTCGAGCACCGTAAAGGACTTAAAAGTTACTTATAATCCCGCGAACAATGAAGCCAACACATTTACCAGCGGAGACACTGTGACTGGTCAAGTGGAGCTGGAACTGCTCAAAGAGTGCACGGTCCAGTCTCTGTCCATCAAGTTTAAAGGGAAGGCAGAAGTTTTGTGGACCGAGCGACATGGGAAAACCACCGTGGTGTACCACTCCAAGAACAAGTACTTCAGCATCAAGCACCACTTCATTAAAGATGAAGACAAAACGGGTAAAGAGGAGCAGGCTGTTGAAAATTTAGTTTCAACTGTGTGGCCCACAATGGTTACGAGTTAAGTTAGAAAGCTATTAAACATCAGACGGTATTTCTTATTATAAAACAACACCACGAGAAGAAAAAAAAAGGCGTTGGCCGAGTAGCTTTTTAATTAATTTTTTTTATCACATTCTTCATATGCACGATTTAGATCGGCAGGGTTATTGATTTTGACAGTTTACAGTGATTTACAGCAGTCAGACCAGACATCTTGCAGATTAATGCAAAACATTTGTTCTAGGATCAAGGCTTTGCCCTTCTGTCAGGTCACAATACTGTTATAAGTACACTGTAAACTGAGACTACTTTAATCTTTACAATTGTATGCTTCTGTTCCCAAAGAAAGTGACAGTGACAGAATTCTGAGTGGAGAGATTGGACAAACCTGTAAGTCCTTCAAATGTTGTATTCTATGAATCTACCTCCATATTTGTGTGGCTAAAACTATTCTCTTTTCAGATAGTAATGTGCTTCCTGCTGGACGCCACATCTACCCATTTACATTTCAGTTTCCAATGGAGTAAGTTGGAATAAATTGGTATACTATGCAAAAATAAACATCAGAAGATGAGCATTGTGAGAAAAGACAAATTTCCAAAATGGTGGACAATAACTGAAAGGAAGATACTGTTTTCAAATATTTTTTTTAATCTCTTTTATTATTTAAGCATTATAATTTGAAATATACAAAATGTTTATATTGGATGACAACACCACACAACTACATTCACATTTTTCATGTCATTTTTTGTTCCCATAGGCACACACCGTCCTCCTTTCATGCTGACACTGGTAAAATAAAATATTTGCTCGAAGCGAAGTTGAGCCGATCAATGAGGATTCCCAAGAAAGATGCAACAAAGCTCAACTATGTAACACAAGACATTATGGACTACAACCCAGAGCTGAAGGTAGGCTTTTTACAGGCATTCCTCACATTCCAGGAAGTGACACAGTTGCTAACCAAACCACTCACGATAACTTCTATAGGCTACATAGTAGTACTGGAACTTTCGTCTCTTTGTTCAGATCCAAATCTTTTGATCAATTCCTTTCAAAATGATGTTCAAAAGCCTACATGGCAGAAGCCAATGTGATTTAACTACTTTTATGTACAAAATGATACCAGAAATAAGTGATCAAGGCTAAGATTTGTTTGAAATGGTCACATCACTACTACATGTATAGACTCGATTATGATGATATGGTGATTATGATAGTGCTCTGAAGGGGGAGTAGGAGCAAAGGGAGGAGGAACACAGAGGTCAAAAAGGAAAGTGAAACTTATAAAACATGTAAAAACATTGTTTCAGCAAATAAAGGATTTTCAAAACAATAATAGGCATAGTGATATGTTATGTGTTTGCAGTTACTAACCCACAGAAGTCTAATACCCCCTCTTTAACTAATATTTGGAAGTATATTCTTTTAGAGTGTAAGACACAATCTTTCTCTTGATAATAACATGAGATTTGCATGACCTAGGGCTGGATGATAAATAGATACATCATATATTGATATAATTATGTTCAAGATATACATTTGCCATATTGTAAATATCAAGTTATTTAACGTTATGTAACAGTAATGCCACACTGCTGCCTAGTTTCTCATCTTTTGGTTTTGCTTCTCTCTACTCTCTCCCTCTGGGGCAAAGGACATACACTGCCCTCTGTCCAAAATGTTTCTATAAATAAGAAATGTAGAGCTATATATTATATATGAATGTTTATATTAAATAGCTCTGTTTTCAGTTTTTTTTAAATGTAATAACCAATATATTGGCTGTATTTATGAGCTGGACATTGATAGTGGATCCATTCTTCTCCTGTATATAACATTTTCAGGAGCCGCAACATGAAACTAAAGACAAGAAACTAAAACTTTTTAATTCAGGAACAGTCTCTATGGATGTAGATTTGGAAAAAATGGGGTTTTACCAAGGTGAGTAATGGTTGATTTATATCTTATATATCAGTGTGGTGTTCTGATGTTATGTTAAGTATGTTCTGTGCATATTTCTCATTGCTAGTACTTTTGCAGGAGAGAGTATAAAGATTTTCGCTGCCATTCAGAACAACTCTTCTCGAGACATCAAGCCAAAGTTTGTTGTGTACAGCAAACACAGCTTTTTCGCTGGCGGCAAGAGAAGACTTCATACCAAAGACCTGATCAAAGAGGTGGGGGCACCCATCCCTCCCTCCAGCAGTCAGAAGGTGACCCAGCTCATCCACATCCCCCCCGACATGGAACCGTCCATCCACAACTGTGACATCATCAAAGTGGAGCACAGGCTCAGGGTAAGACTGAGGGGTGGCCAATATGGCAAAACTTTATTATCACAAATTTCTTGGAGCCAAATCACAGTTTAAATTTATCACAATTCATACACTTTATTTTTGCAAACTATGTAACTTTTCTGGTGGAGGGTCCACCACCTGTTTGTCTTATTGGAGATGCATTTGCTTTGCCTTGAAAGTGCCAAAGTATGGCATTAAACTTCCCTGTCTTCATGGAGACAAGTAAGTGACACAACTTGTCCAAGTTACAGGTTAGATTTGTGGAGAAGAGAAATGACTCACAATAAGAATACTTGAATTCCCAATATATTTCATAGCAATTAAACATATAATTGAAATAATGCTAAATGTATATATGTTTAATGCCATACCATGGAACATGGAGATTAGAGGCGGGCAGTTACACAGTGTACCTTTAAGAGGTAATTAAAGTAATCTTCTTATTCTGAAATCATACAATTGATAAAATACAGTGGTCTCTCACTCAGGCCTTACAGAAGATAATCAATTTCAGAATGATGATTGTTTTGATAACAATTAACATTTTCAATCTAAATAAATATTTAGAGCTTTTGAAAAAGTCACCAAATGTTGCATGTGTCAGAAAACCTATGAATAGAAGAAGTGGGAGGGAAAAGTGCCCTCCCTTCAGACAGATGTAAGGAAGACAATGTCTTACGTGTGTCCGGCCAGAACAGATTCACAACTTTTGCAATGGAACCTCTCTGAATGACTGAGAGATTATACAGGCGATGTGCCTATAATGACAGGTCGTCACAGCGATGAGATCACTATTAGATTTGTATTACTATGTTGCCCTAAACAGTGTCACCACATATATGATTGAAAAAAAAAAGATTTTCTTAGAAGAAATTGAAATTGCTGAAGGTTGAAATTTTGTCTATGATTAATAGAGGAATGGGCACCGAAAGTATTTTTTAAGAATTTGCAAATGTTTCTTTTAAGTAAAAGAATAAAGTCAGTTAAAAGTTCACAAATCAATCCAACAAACAAAATTAATGTTATTTGCAGGTCTATCTGGATGTCAAATATGCCTCCGACCCACAAATCAAATTCCCCATTGTGATTCTCCATGCTCCCCACTTTGTTGCCAATGGCCCACCACCTGCTGCTTCAGAGTTTGGATTTGGAGCCTATGGAACGGTCAACCCTCCAGTGTACAACCATTTGCCCTATGCACCACAACCTGGACCACAATACCTCCATCCACCACCAGGGGTAATGACGCAACCCTCAGCTCCACCGTTAAACCGCTCGGACCCTCCTCCATACACTGCTTATGAAATGTACCCTTCTTTACCATCATATGACACCAAAAAATAGCACAGCGTTATTGTCTTTTATTGGTACAAGAAGTCAAATTGTAGCAGAAGTTTATTTACTTTATTTTTCAAGTTTAAATGTAATCGCTTTGGTCTATACATCAGTTAATCCCAATTTATGCTAGCCGGGTGGTTCAGCCTTAGTTTAAATAGGACCTAATTTTGTCAGTTTAACCTTAAAGAAGTTGCTGGCCATAATCCCTTCCACTTTGTTTCCAATTTGAAATATTTTTTTTATGTTAATAGTTTTTCATTATGTGATGTTTTCATATAAAAATAAGATAGTCTGTGTATAAAAACAGCCAAAATTTTGAATTTTTGGGACATTCAAAACACAAACATAACAGAGCATGCAGAGCCAGGTTTAAATGTTTTGCTTTTTGTGTTGACATGGTGGGTTTCAGATCACAACATTCTATAGACCAATGTTATTTAATACAGTTGGGGGCTAAAATTAACATTGTTAAATTGCAGATTTTTGTTGCCATACAGTGAGTTCTTGTGTCTTGACACTGATATGTTCTGGGGCAACATTTGTGGGTTTACCCTTTGGATATTTCATGGCAAAGTACAATATCATCAATAAGGAAATCTGACTCTTGACCCCCATCTGGGACTATGGCATCATCACATTCTAGAATCTGAATCTTTTTTCAATATTTGAATAGTCTAGATCAGACTGAAATTTTGTCTAAAAATTTAAATTTCATGTTTTGTTGAAATCTTTTTGTTTTTAAACGTTTTTGCATGTATTATAAGTTTGTATATTAAATAAATTACCATGGCCATTTCAAATATCTATTGTAAATTAATTCTTTAAATATCTGTAATTCTACTATAATAGAGAAGTTCTGTCTGACCAGTACTTTTTCAACACTTTACACCTAAAGGTATTATGTTTCAGTTAAGATATTGTGTGGTATATCTTTACAAAGCATTAACAACATGTGACTCTGAGTAATGTAAACAAATTGGAGCCGCCTCTTTTTCCTCACATTTCACAAAGGACAAACCAGTCAAACAACGTGCTTACATGTACACGTAGCATTTCATTAGTATTACTCCACAGTCTGAGTTTGAGCTACGCTGCTACAGAGACAGAATGACCATTCATAATTTCTCTATTGAATACGATGCCATCAACAGCAACAACATCTTCACAAATGGGGATACCATAAAAGGAAGAATCATTTTAGAAGTCTCAAAGGAGATCAAGGTTCAAGCTCTTATTTTCAGAGCCCAGGGGCAAGCACGTGTCTGCTGGCATGAGCAGTACGGACAGTACGTGCATGTGGTGTACACCTCTAAGGATGAGTACTACAGAGTGGAACATCACATCTTCACAGAGACCACACAAGATGGTAATTCATGTTAAATTTGTTTCATTTAGAATTAATTTAATATATATTCATGTATTAATTTTTGGTTCTTTTCAAGGCACTGAAGTTATTGGTCCAGGGAGACATGTGTTCCCTTTTTCATTCAAGATTCCTGATAGGTTGACAAAAAAATGCTTGATTATTGTTTGTATGAAAATACATAAATTAGATAGATATTTCTCTCTCTCTCTCTCTCTCTCTCTCTCTCTATATATATATATATATATATATATATATATATATATATATCTGTCTATCTATCTATATTTTTTTAAGTTAAAGTGTTAAAAAGTTAGAAAATTTTGTCACTGTAAAAAACTATTTCAAGTCAGTATGTTTAATTACAGAAAAATGCCATCAACATTTAAATCCTCAGTGGGTAAAATTGTGCACAAGTTGAAGGCAGAGCTAAAGCAGTCAATGAAGATCACAAAAACTGCTAAAACACACTTCACCTTAGTCTCACAAGCGGACCTGGACATACCTGGACTTCTGGTATGCATTGCCTAAGCTTAAGTGCACAGTCAGTCCTGCTATTGTAGTAATATCTAGTGTGTTTTTAGGAACCTCAATACGGCTGCAAAGATAAAACTATCAGTGTTTTCGGATCCGGAACTGTTGCCATTGATGTCCGCACAGAGAGACTGGGATATTGGCAAGGTAATTTGTTTATTCAATAATTCACCAGGTAGAACACCCTCTCATTTACATAAGAATCTGGTCAAGGTAAGGCAATGTGACTGCTTTGTGTGTAGTATTAAAGATTCACTGTGTAACTGATGGTGGAGGGTTTACTAACTGATTGTCTCCATGGAGATATTATTATTTTGCCTGGAATACTCCACAGTATGGCATTAAACATAAAAATTTCCAAGAGGTGACACCACCAGGCCAAATTACAGGCCAGTTCAGTGGTGAGGCAGCCTTCCTCACAGCAAGAAAAAATGGGTATGGTACCTCACATCTCCATAAGACACGTTGGAACTTTTCTGGGTGGCTTTTCAAAATAATAAAAAAAAAAAAAAAAGATAAAATATTTCTCCACACACTATGCTAACATAGGTTTATTCATTGATTTGACTTTCAGGTGAAGCTCTACAGGTCGTGGCTGAGATTAAAAACCAGTCCTCTCGTGCGGTCAAGCCTAAACTGGTCTTGTACAAAAAGAAGAGTTATTTTGCCCAGGGTCACAGAAGGGTCAACACGTCTGACATCCTGAAGGAGACCTGTGATCCAGTCGAGTCTGGCTCCAATAAAACTGTCACCAAGACTATCACTATTCCAAAGGAACTGCCCTCCTCTATACTCAACTGCAGCATAATTAAACTGGAGTATAGACTCAAGGTATTAAATTCACTGGCAACTGTGCATATATAAAGTAAATATACAAGCTACATAATATACTACCTACACCTACTTTTGGTGCCTCTGACCATTAGATAATATTACATGCTCAACTACACAAAGAGGTTTATTAATGACATTTAAAAGTACAGTTTATTCAAAATATAATAATATTAATACTACTGGCACACCCAGTACATCCCTAATATTAAAAACTACACACCCTGTACATAACTATTGTAAGACTACAACTTAATAAACAGAGAATTGTTATTCTCTGTTATTTTATTTTAGATGTAAACACGTGCCTGTTCTCTCTTTCCAGATCCTGCTGGATATCAAATGTGCGAGTAACCCTGAGATCAAGTTACCTATAATTGTTTTACCTGAACAAAGCAGCCTCACAGCAGTGGATAACCAGTCGGCTACATTAAAGGAATATGAAGCTTCAGCCCAGCCCAGTCCACAGGACATTTACTATCCACCCATCCAGGCCTGGTCTCTGCCCACTCAGAACCTTGCACACCACCAGCCTGCTGCTGCAGCAGCCTCTGATGACCCTCCTCCCTATGGATCTCTGTACCCCCACACAGACCAAAACAGCTTTAACTGTTACATCCAGGGAAAAGGAAAGGGTGCTGCAAATATTAGTTAAACTCAACAGAAAATTATATCCAATGGCCTTTTCTTTTTGTTGTTTTTGGCATAAAAAGAAAATACTTATTTACCTAGCTGATTTGTACTTTAACATTAACACCAACTTGTTTGAGGCAGGTATTCTCATCTAAAAAGCACTGCATTTCTGGTGGAGGGTCAGTCAAAAACTTTTCTCCATAAAAAAGTTATTGCTTTGTTTGGAATGTTTTGCATTATGGTATTAAACCTTTCTAACTTCATCTAGACCAAACCAGATCAAGTTACGGGTCAAATCTTTGGAGAGGCATCCCCACTCGCAGTCAGAAAGCCTGTATTTTTGAGCTATAAAACCACATATAATTGAATAAATGTAATGTAGAGCTGTTTAATGTCATACTGTGGAACATTCCAGACAGAGCAAAAAAGCAGGTGATAAACGCCCAACCAAAAAGTTACCTAGTGCTGTTTTAATCTGTTTTGTTGTTGTTGTTGTTGTTGTTTTTTATAGAGATCGATAGAGATAGATATGTTTAAATATCATTCTTTACAATATTCAGGAACAAACAATAACATCTCCATGGAGACAAGTAGCAGACCATTTTCCAGAAAAGGTACATAGTGCACATTTATTTATGCATTTATTTATTTTATGTTTATTGTGATTTGACATTAGACATTTGACTTCAGGGAATAGGGAGGGCATTCATCAGGTTTGAATGGGGTGATGTGACAATAAGATACATAGTGAGCAAATATGTTTTTACGTAACTGATTTGTGTACTTTAACATTAAATAAACAGGTACTGTTTTCAAACTTTACTGTATATATGTGTGTGTATATATATATATATATATATATATATATATATATATACACACACACACACAAATACAGTAGAGAGTGAGAGTTAAGCCTAGGCTCTGACAGTTTACTGCTTTATTCTGTCTAATATGTATGTATGTAATATGTATATGTGTATGTATATGTATCAATAGAAAAAAATATATTTACATTAAAAGATCATTGTTTCAAAGTTTTTATAGTTTATTGTATCTGATAGCAACAATAAAATGATATATAGATGGATTAATCACATTGAGATTCCCAACTTCAGTGTTATCGTCCCCTAAGGGCTGTTACTCACCGTGGCAAAGGTTGTGAAACTGAGCATGTGACAGTTGTAAACCATTGATATAAAAAGAGTGAACGCTCTATCAAGGCACACTCGTGAAAATGACCATAGAGAGCTTCTCCGTTGAGTACGACACCAACAACAAAGACAATGTGTTTTCCAGAGGTGACACTATCTCTGGGAGGGTGGTCCTGGAGCTGTCCAAAGAATCCAAACTAGACCATATCACTGTGAAAGCCAAGGGGAAAGCATCTGTACTGTGGAATGAATACTATTCACCTGCACATAACATAGTGTACACGTCAAAGGAAAAGTACTTCTCCATTGCACAAGATGTACTTGACGATTCAACACGTGGTAGGTTCTGTTGTATCAACAAATATTTAAATGTGGACTTTCTATTAATGTTTTGTTGTTTTTTATATCAGGTTCTAAGGTAATCGCTGTGGGGAGACACACATTCCCTTTTACTTTTCAAATACCAAATATGTACGAAAATCTAATTTTACTGTCTCAAATTTACATTTGTTCAGTTTTCAAAACAACTAAACTATTTGCTCTTGTCTTTGCAGGGAGCTGCCATCTTCTTTCAAGGGAAAACATGGCAAAATCACTTATTTTCTGGAAGCAAGAGCGATCAGATTTATGAGAGTGGATCAGAAAGCTACAGAAGAATTCTTTATTGTTTCCAATGAAGACAAGTCCACTCCTGAGACAATGGTAAGAGTACAAATCAAACAGTTTGAAACTAGGCACTTAAAGTAAAACTTACAAGATAAATTACTTTCGGAGCTATGCTTTTGATAGTTGAAATTGTAATATCGATAATGATATTTGCAGTTTTAGTGTATAGCACTCAAAGCAGTTGTGTTACAAATAAATTAAGTAATAGTAACAATTTTTAATGTTGGACAGAAACCTCAATACATGCGCAGTGATAAGAAGCACTCATCTGGGAACGTGATTTTGAATGTGCACACTAAACGGATGGGATATCAGCAAGGTAAAACAAGAAAATTTAATTTTATAATTCAATCTAAATGAAGCAGATTACATATTAGGTGCACAGGTGTACAGGTTAGTGCAAAGTGAATGATTTTGGAATAGCTGCTCTTTATCTTGCCTATAAGGACCATTGTTGATAGAATAATAATCACCTTCAACCCATAAAACAATATACTTGTACTATATCTCATGTACTGGCTTGAATAAAAAGTACTCTAATCATTTATTTTTGATTTTTGAAGGAGACAATATTGAAATCCAAACCGAGATTGTCAACAACACAAACGGCATGGTCACACCCACGTACTACCTGTACGAGAAGCAAAGTTTTCACACAAAATTAAAGAGGAAGGTCTACACTAATGACATCATAAAGGAGTCTGGACAACCAGTGGGGCCCAAAACAGAGCTGATAAATAACAAAATCTTGCACATCCCAAACCTGCTCCCTCCAACTCTCCTCAGCAGCTCCATAGTCAAACTGGAGTACAGACTCAAGGTAATACTCTTATTTCATACATATTTAGCAGTTGCAGTGCAAGTGCAGTGTTTAATTTTGGCATTAAACCTTTCTATTTTCATGGAGCCTAGTTATAGGTCAGATCTGTGAAGAGGCAATCCCACTTACAGTCAGAATGTCTGTTGTTTTTTGTTTATTTTTTTAAGGTATTTTGAGCTATAAAACAACTTGTAATTAATTAAGTGTAAGGTAGAGCTGTTTAATGTCATACTATGAAACATTCCAGGCAGGGCAATGACATCCATCCATAGCAACAAGCAGCTGACAGGCCCCTAACCAAAAAGTTGCACAGTACATCTTTAAGACCACAGAGAATGGATTAAGTTGTGTCCATAAAGGTACAATATGCAGTTTTTCTGGTGAGTCTGCCCTGTCCATGGTGATGTTGTCTAAAATGTTACACAGTATGTCATTAAAGATAACTTTCTTGCATTTAGGATTTCTAGTATCATTTTATTTTTACCTGGTCCCCAAAGGGTTGACCAGGTTTTGTATTTACCCTGTGTGTCTTTATGTGTGTGTCTGTCCACTCGTGATAATTCCGCCATTTATGAACCGATATATCACCAAATTTGGTACGTGGGTCAAGCCCCTGTGCCCGATGCCGCAAAAAAAAGTTTGGTGACGATCTGAGATCATTTGTGGTCACACGGGTCAGTTGAAAGGTCACACCATTATAAAGGATAGGCAATTTCGGCAAATTCTGAACTATCTGTGGCCTAAAATATTCACCCAATCATCACACAAGTTGACACACACATAACGCCTCATGGGGGACCAGGTTGCTATCTCTGATTGCTCTTGTTTTCTATAGAGATCAGTAGAACGATAGATGTGTTTAAATACCATCCTTTACGATATTCAAGGTTAAGCAATAACATCTCCACAGAGATGACATACATAGTGCACCTTTATTTATTTATTTTTATTTATTTTATTTTACTTTTTTGTGGCGTTAGAGACGTTTTGACTTGAGCGAACAGGGAGTGGTTGCATCCAGGTTTGAAGGGGGTGATGCGATAATAAGATACACAGTCACATAGTGCATAGTGCATAGTTTTAATGTAAACTAAACTTAATGTAAGCAGGAAAATTTGAGCAAGGATTAAGTTTCTGCTGATTATAATGTTTTCAATGGCCCGTAGTAAAAAAAACTGTCTTTGCAGGTGGTCCTGGACGCATCTCTGATAGGAAATGCAGAGGTTAAGTTTCCAATTGTTGTGCTGAGAGAGTTCAACAAGCTACAAGAGCAGAACCAGAGTGTTGTGTGAATTAGGTTGGGTAGTCACTCCAAAGCATGTTTTCTTGTTTTGTAACATGTTCAGATGATTTAAAAACTCTAAACAAACATCAAGTGGTTGTAAAATAGAAGCTCATAAAACCAGCCACTATCAATATACAATGCCTGGACTGGTCAATGATTGTTTAATATTTCTATGTAAACCAGAGGAAAAATATGTCAGTTGTTGGTGTCATACTAACTTTGTAAATCATACAGTATAAAATCTAAGTTTGTATAAAAAATAAATAAATATATAAACAAATCAGACTATATAGTGTGATGTGTTATGTACCTTCGTGATTTAGATAAGAGTCCAAAGTCTGACACTACAATGCAAACACTTCAGTCATTCCAGCTTCATGAAGTATCCATGCATAGTATTTTTACTGCATTATGTTCTCACCCAAATAGGCCTGTCACAATAACACATTTTGAAGCACGACGATATATAGCTGCAGAGAAATATGGTAATAAATGATAATATTAAACTACTTTATTTCACTGATAAAATTAAAGTATAAAACTATTTTTAAATAAACATTAAAATAAAAAGGCCTAAGCTGCAGCAAATAAATAGCAGATTAAACCAATAATGAGCCATTGACCTATTCAACAATTTACAGCTCAAATCTTGTCTCATTACTACAAAAATAAAGCAAAAACTACCCATGATACCCAAAATATATTGTTCCAGCTTTCATATTGAATGATAAGTTGATATACTAATTATCATGACAGGCCTACTCCCAAATTTAGAAAGTTACAGAAAGTTAGAAAATTTAATTTTCTATCTTTATACCTGTTTTCATCTGCATATTCTTCTCTCCAACAGCTTAGTTAATTTCTATTCAACCTCCCTAAGTCTAATACAAATCCACAGAGCAGCTGTTGGCAGTTCAGTTTTCACCAAATGCATTGTTATTATACAAACTGATTACAAAAATGTACAAGACCAAATATGCAACCGTACATACATTTTTTGATATTGTAACCATAATATATTACATTCCTTCAAGTTTCTATCCTCTGAAAGTCAAAAGTGCATTGTTATCATTCTTTAAGTGCTATTAGCATATGTCAGCATGGAAAAGGTTGCACAATCAGGACATGTGACAGTTGTAAAAACAAATGAAATACTCTGTCAGTAAGCGCCTGAGTTTGGCAAAATGACCATTGAGAGCTTCTCCATTGAGTACGATGCTAACAACAAAGACAATGTGTTCTCAAAAGGAGACACCATCTCGGGGAGGGTGGTCCTGGAACTGTCCAAAGAGACCAAACTAAACCGTCTCATCGTAAAGGCCAAGGGGAAAGCGACTGTAAGGTGGACTGAACATTATGGACCTAGATTACACATAACATACACTGCGAAAGAAAAGTACTTCTCCATTGAAAAACATCTTCTGATTGATTCAACACACGGTATGTTCTACTATTGTATTTCGTTCAGTCTAGTTTATTATAAATAATGTTTTAAAAATTATTATAGATTCTAAAGTGACACCTGTTGGGAGACATGTCTTCCCTTTTACTTTTGAAATACCTAATGTGTAAGTGAATTAAGATATTTTATTGTTTCAAATCCATGTCTATTTCTTATAAAATAAATAAATAAATAACTTTTGAATTATCTTTGCAGGGAGTTACCATCGTCTTTCAAGGGTAAACATGGCAAAATCTGTTACCGCCTGGAGGCGAGAGCGAGCAGATCCATGAGGCTGGATCGCAAAGCTAAAGAAGAATTTTTTATTCTTTTCAATGAAGACCTGTCCACCCTTGACTTAATGGTTGTATTGCATTTAAGTTTAATATCAGAACTGACTTAAATAATCTGTGAACACTAGTAATTAGCTGTGATTAGAATACTTAAATTTGTTTTAGTATTTCTATATTGTAATAAATTATTTCTACATAGGGGTATTTAATCAGCATTATTTAGTGTCAGATGTTCTTGTCACTTATTCATTATTACTAGATGCAATTACACAAATAAATAAATGAAAAATAATTATAATAATTACTGATGTTTTATGTTGGACAGAAACCTCAATACATCTGCAGTGAGAAGAAGTTTCTCTCCTCTGGAAATATAACTTTGAACATGCACACTAAACAGATGGGGTATCTGCAAGGTAAAAAGGGGAAAAACTATTAACTATTAAGTATTCTGCATGAAGACCTAATGCAGATCGGCATATTGGTGACTTCAAATTGGCTCCTTAAATAACTGCTCTTCTCTGTGCAATAAATGAACCCTATCCTGCCTTCAGCTGTCAATATAACTCATGTCTTGTTTTTAAAGGAGACAAAATTGAAGTGCGAGCTGAAATAATCAACAATTCAAACAAAACCATCACACCCAAGTACTACCTGTATGAGAAGCAAAGTTTCTACACAAGATTAAAGAGGAAGGTCTACACTAAAGACATTATACAGGAGAAAGGACAGCCAATAGGGCCCAGGACACAGCTGAATGACACCAAAGTCCTGGACATCCCAGACCTGCTTCCTCCAACTCTCCTCAGCTGCCCTATACTCAAACTGGAGTACAGACTCAAGGTAATATGCTCAAACTCAATCATTTAAGTTTTACAAGTATTACTGATGATGTTAATGCTGAAAAGCAAGCAATAGTGATCTAAGGCAGGTTGAAGGCGCTGTATAATCTAGACTGCAAAAATAACACGTCTATTGTTGAGTTATAGGAGAGTGTTTGGTATTGCAATTCAGTGGCTCTTGGGAAGTAAATGCTCAACCAGTGACAGATAGAGAACTGTATTCATACCATACTCCATACAAATGTACGACAACACACCCTTATGTAATAGATAACTATGTCAATCACTGTTTGCACTGCTTCTCCTTACAACTTCTTGTATATACGGTAACTGAGATATATATTACTATATTTCTATATTAAATTTTTACTTATGCAAATACATTTATACAATTATACCCTATTTGACCTGTCTCTTGCTTTTTTGCTACAGTACTTATTTTACATTTATTATTACCATTTATATTTTAGCTCTTTGTTATTATAATATATTGTGATGTCTGAGCTACTGTGTCCAAATAATTTCCCTTGTGGGTCAATAAATTTTGTCTAAATCTAATTAAATAAGCAGGTAAAATTATCAGGATCCCTTATGTATGTTTATTGCACCTGACTTTGCACTGTGTGTTTGCAGGTGGTCCTGGATGTATCAATAATAAGAAATACAGAGGCTAAGCTACCGATCATTGTGATGAGAGAGTCTAAGATGCTACAAGAGCAAAACCAGACTGAAGGTTTATTTGGATAGTCACGCAAAGCCATGTTCGCCTGTTTTAGCAGCATGCTTCACTGTGTTCAAAACATTAAAAGAGGGGTGTCAAACTCATTTTGATCTCAGGGCCGTATCCAACCTACTTTGATCCCAAAAGGGCTGGATCAGAAAACTCATGGCATATAAACCCCAAAAATAGCAATAAATTCAAATATTTGTGCAGAGAAATGCAAATATATTACAGAAATCTTTTTTTAAATTGATTAACTCTTTTTTTTTTTTTTTTTTTTTTTTTTTTACAAAATATTATAATATTATGAACAACCTGAAACTTTTAGAAAAATGCAATTTCAAGACAATGTTTTAACATTAACTTGTATGCAAATAGGAATAAGTCAGTTTTTTGTGGAAAATCCTGCACTCGGCTCCACTTTTCTCATTTTTGACATTTTGCTGGTGAGGGTGTCACGGTCAACAGTCAAAACTATTGTCCTTTAAGAGCATTTGGAAAGAGGCAAGTCTTCATTTGTGCTGCTCTGGTGGGAGGTGGCCACGTACAGAGGCGCTGGAGATGCTGCTATGCTAAGCATCGCAGAAAATTACCAATATTTTAATAGAAAATATAATTAAAATATTTTAGTAGAAAATCAGCCGAGGGCCAGATTAAAGGTCTTGGAGGGCCGGATCTGGCCTCTGGGCCATATGTTTGACACCTGTGCATTAAAATCTAGAGTAAACAAACATTGAGAACATCTTCTGTTTTGTGTAATCTACACTGTATCGTAATTAAGAATAAGATAGAAGTAGTAAAATACATTGGTATACGTGTCTTATGTGATATATGTACTGCCTTCATGGGTAAGATAAAAGTCCAAAGTCTGACACTACAATATACACTTCCATCAGTATTTTTCCTTGTTCCATTACTATCCCCAACCACCCCAAGTTTACTGTTCAGTTTGTATCTCCATTTCATCTGTAGGTTCTGCTTAACTATTTAATTTAGACTCCATAAAATTTTTGGTCTAGAACTGCACCCTAAGGCTTTAGTATCTGTTCTTTCTTTTTTCTGGCATCACATCCTAAATTATACAGCATTTGGAATCTCATCACTGCCTTGTTTTCTTTTTTTTCAGTTCAAAGGTGTAAAGCACACAGGCTTCAGGATTTATTAATGTGCTATAAGTTAAAAGAATCAGCAATTAATTGGAGCAGTTAGAGACTGCAGACACGAGGCATACACTTCAGTTGATCTGTAGCCCCACAGTGTGGCCAAATTTTGCTAAGCAACGGGATGTATTTCTGTAGCCTACATTTCAGGTCTAAAGAGATATGTGGTTTACAACATTTTTGTAGATGTCTAAACTACAGGGTTATAGCTAATTTATAAATATTAAGGTCTGAGGTCTAACAAGATACTAAACAAAGTAGGCTGAATATTTAGCTCCAATTGAAACATAGGCTACATTTTTGTCATTAATGTCTAAAATAATACACAAATAAACAGGTACTTAGCATGCCAGTTCTACAGTAAACAGAGACAGTGGCCAAGCACTTTTAATAGCAGACTCCTGTCATTTACTTTCAGTTTCTATTCCCACACTCCCTCTTCTGTGACATCACAGCCATAAACACACAAGCCTCTTCTAGTTACACAGCCACACTCAACTTTTAGTTAATGTTCCCAGAACAGAACAGAAAATATTATTTTACAAACTTCCCATATTACCAAATATACTAGCTGGACCTTCACCTATTTTTAGTTTGACAAATGCCTCATACTGATACTGACTGAGTTAAGGTGTCTACATTAGTGATATCAAAATATTCAAATTAGTAATCAGTACTTTTGGTTGTATTCACTATTGAGGACAATGTTAACCACTCTGTAAAGTTTCTTATGAAGGGCTGATATCATGTGACATGTACTTGTATTTATCCATCATCAACATTTCAGATTTCAGGTAATGCAGTAACATCTTCACCAAGTTAGTTACAAGTTACAGCACCTTCAAGCAGAAAAACTGAATGATTAATACCCTATGTGAAAGAGCTCCCATTTGATTTATACTTTTTTTTTAATTTATTTTTTTATCACAGATGTCCAAGTCATTTCTGACAGGTGAGGCTGAGTTTACAGTAAAGGGAACTGGCACATACCGGCAATATTACATGTACTTATTTCTTATCAAAGTTTTGTCAGACATGTCCTAAGCAAATGTTGTAAAAGCACTCGTCATCACACTGTCATATATAGGCTACAGTAGCTCTACAGCTTCAGTCCAGGACAACTTCAGAACAAAATGAGCATCAAAACCCTCACAGTTGAATATGACCCCTCAAAGGAGAGGAGAGGGTTTTCCAGAGGAGAGACTCTCACAGGAAGAGTGATTCTGGAGTTGGCTAAAGACACTAAAATAGAGTGTTTTTCAGTCACAGCCAAAGGGAAGGCATCTGTGTTTTGGACTGAAAGTTACATCTATTCTGTCGTCTCATACAAAGCCAAGCAACATTTTTTTTCTAAAACCAAAATTCTTCTGGAGCGATCAAGACCTGGTAAGTTGTATTGTCCTTTGAATGTATTCTTGTGTAAAACCTTAAATATATAGCTGTATATATTTTAAGTATTGAATTTGGAATATTATATTTTACCATCTAATCTAATGCAGGGTATAGGAAGTAAAAAAAAAATCAAGACAGTAACAGCTGATGAGGAGTACTAAAACATATGTTCTACTTCACTGAAAGCTCACAGCAATACAGTTCAATATTTTCAACTCTTTCTACCACTCTGCAGTACTATAATGTCATTTCATTCATGAATTCTCAAAATTATTAGGATCTTGTGCAAAAAATTTACCAGAAATGTATGAGTTTTCAGCATATTTGTGAGTGAAAAGGCAGATTTAAATGGTCCTGTTGCAGACTTCAACCAATTTATGCTTTCTCCATTCTGCTGTGGTCAATTTAAATCCTTATAATTAAAATAATATTTCTAATATATTTCTTTGTCTGTTCACAGGGGTAAAGGTTCTTTCTGCAGGGCGGCATGTTTTCCCCTTTGCTTTTGAGCTCCCTGACATGTACGTACTAGTATATGAAACACGACATAATTGTTTCTGTGCACTGTGTCTGATGGCTGAACATCTTCTGCAGTGACTTGCCAAAAGACTGGGTGGGTCGCCATGGACACATCAGTTATTCATTGGAAGCCAGAGTGAGCCGATCCATGAGGCTGGACAGCAAAGAAAGAACAAGCTTCACAGTGGCGTCTAATAGCAACTATTCCAACCTTGATATAATGGTAATTTATCACTAATGTCTTCATACTTTAATGTCTTCAAGTATTTTATTTATTTATTTATTTATTTATTTAATAGGGACAGTGCATTTTACAGTATCAAAGTTGAGAAAGTACACCAAAATGGCCAAATTTGTGGATTTTAAGCACTACTGTAGCTGCTATAATAAAACTTTTTATATTTCCATCTCTTCTACTACTATGATTACTAATACACTAACCACTGCAACCTTCTGTTCCTACTGCTACAACATGTCCATATATTTAATTTATATTTAACCACTATCTATGACTTTGTATTTGGTATTGTCTTTTACAGAAACCTCAACAAAGGCAAGATGAGAGGAAAGGAATGTTTTCATCTGGGAAAATGGCATTAGATGTTACTACTAAAAAGACGGGTTATCTGCCAGGTAAAAAATGAACCGTCTTTTAATTGTTAAAAAGTTTCAACAAAATAATTTATGTTTATTTATTACAACCCATGAATGTTTTACAGGTGAAGGCCTAGAAATCACAACTCAAATAACCAACAACTCAAAAGACACAAAAGCGACTCCAAAATATGTGTTCTACGAGAAGCAGTCTTTCATTTGCAAAAAAAAGAGGAAAGTTCACACTAAACACATTGTTGAGGAGAAGGGCGACCCTGTGCAGGCTGGACAACAAGTGACCCAAACTAAAGTACTACAAATACCAAAGATACTTGACTCAACTGTCCTCAACTGCAACATCGTCAAGCAAGAGTACAGGCTGGAAGTATGTGCTTTATGAATATTTTGGCTAGTATGACAATATTATGTAATAAAGTACTTTTGATGTATTTTAATTAGCCAAGATTAACATTACATTCATTGGACTAAGCTTTGTGTTGCGATGTCTTGTGTTTGCAGGTTTACCTTGATGGGCCGCTGTATTCCCCAAAGGCCAAGTTGCCAGTCATTGTGTTGTGAGAGTTTGGGAGACAAAGAGAAGGAAACTAAAATGAGAAGATTGAGTATAATATGTTTTAATATTTTTATACTGTTGTGCTGCTCATACATAATTGTAATAAATGTACAAACATATGTATGGCTAATTCATTCATTTGTGTGGCATATACTTTTCTCAATTGTCTAATGTTGAAATACAACATGTTGCATACCTTTGTCCATAGAAATAAACACACATACGGAAAAAAAGAAAAGAAAAAAAGAAATAAACACACATACCAAGAACAAGGCTTAGACAGGCCTAGATTTCATCATCATCGACATCTGAATTGGGACTAAACCTAAACTAAACTAAACTAAAAAAAAAACAAACAAAAAAACAGAAGTAAAGGTGCACTATATAACTTTTTCTGTTGGAGGGCCTGCCACCCCACCTGCTTGTATCTGTTAATATAAAAAATGAGCAGTCTGTGGACACAAGCAGAAGATACCACAAGTTACAGGCCAGATTTGTGGAGAGGTGAGCATGTGAAACATTCCAGGTAAAGCAATATCATTCCCATGAAGACAAGCAGGTAGTGGACCCCCAGACCGAAAAGTTACAGTCACCTTAGTTTGAGTATTGTAACTTAACCCACAGGATCAGATGGCTCATGTGAAAGAGAGCCTGCTGGCTGCTCACATGACAGCATGGAGAAGCAGCTCCTTTGTTATCACTACTCCAGAGCCATTTCTACAACTTTCCTGAACAATCCAAGTGTTTTCATTGAAATGTACAGATAGGGGTGGTTATAATGACAGTGAAGCACTTCCATGTGGAATACAACAAACTAAATGAACAGGGCACCTACTCTCCGGGAGACAGCCTAACTGGACAGGTCGTCGTAGTGACCACAAAGGAGACCAAAGTGCAGTGTTTCTATGTGCGGGCTAAAGGCAAAGCCAAAGTAACATGGTGTGAGGGGAGTGGGCCCAACAATGTGGTGCATCAAGACAAGAAGAAATATTTCTACTTTGAACACATCATCCTTCAGGACAAGAACAAAGGAGATGGTCTGTAAAAGAAATTGTTTTAAATGTGTATACTGTATATTATGGTAAATGCATTTTATATAGATTAATGCTTTACAGGTTCTGAAATCATTGGCGCAGGGAGAAATGTGTTTCCCTTTAAATTTAACCTACCAAATACGTAAGTAGCCATTCCTGATTGTCAATGTCTGACTTGGTCAGATGTCAGAAGCTAAGCCACCACCAGGCCTGGGGCAGCAATGGCTAGGGAAACAACTAATTGTGTCCTTAGGCAGGACACTTTCCCACATTGCCTAGTTTCAAAGTGGTGTATACGTGAGTATTGGTGGTGGTTGGAAAAGGCAGATTGGCAGCCTCTTTTTTGTCAGTCTATCTCAGGGCAGCTGTGGCTACCATAGCAGCTTGCCACCAGAGTGTGGAGTAAATGTAATGTAATGTCAAATAAAGTGCTTTGGGTGTTTTGAAAAGCACTAGGCCTATATAAATCAAATGCATTATTTTTGTCATAAAGATCTTTTAATTCAAATATTTTCTGAACAAGAACATAAACAATTGATTTTTTTGTGTAATATGATTTCATTTGCAGGGATATGCCTTCATCCTATCAGGGAAAATGGGGCAGAATTTCATACAGTTTAAGGGCCCAGCTGACACAGTCTATCTGGGTTATACACAAAGCCAAAACTGAGTTCCCATTTCAGACCAACGCAGAGTATCCATTTGCATCTAAAACTGAGATGATCTTAATTGGGCTTAAGGTATGTATATTTACACATGACTTTAATATATCAGTCTGTTATGGTTTTGTTGTTGCTGTTTTTTTTTTTTTTTTTTTTTTTTTTTTTTTTAAAGGAACAACAACAAGCAACACAGATTTCATTTTGTGGTGTTGGAAAAGTTACTATGAATGTTATCTCTGAAAAAATAGGAATCATGCAAGGTATTGTAAATAGCCTTTTATGTAATTTAGTGTAATCAAAATATTGAAAGTGACCACTGTCACTTTAGGTGAGGCCATGGGAGTGTCTGTGGAAGTTATCAATGAATCATCAAGAACAGTTACCCCCAAGTTGTACCTGTGTGAGAAGCAGACTTTTGTAGCTCAGTCCAAGCACATAGTCCACACTGAGAAGATCCTGTTTGGGATGGGTGACCCAGTTTCCTCTCAGAGCAGCCACACTGTGACCAAAGTACTGAGCATCCCACCTCTCCTGCCCGCAACCTTCTTCAACTGCTCCTTGATGAAGCTGGAGTACAGGCTAAAGGTACACACATACACTAGCAGTTAGCAAAGTAAACAAAGTAATGCTATAAACAAAAATGAGCAGATGAGAGAGAGAAAACTCTCCTTAACTGAAATGCAGAGAAGTTAGCATAATCATATCTGCAAAAACAAATAATCATTAGCAAATTTTGCATATGCATCTTCAGAACTATGTCATGCAGTAAATAGATATTTTGTACAACTGAACTCAAATGAAATCAAAGGTCAATGCAGAAGTTCTAAAAATAAATATATTAATAACACATTTATTATTTTCAGGTGATTCTTGATGTGCCACAAGGACGAGACTCTGAGATCAAGCTTCCTCTGATCATTCTTTTGGGTTCACCAAAACCACAACAGCAGAAACCAAAACGCTCCATCTGGTTTAGAAAACTTATTGGTTAAAATGGGCTATTTAGAGAGACAGAGCTGTGAGAGAAGAACTTATATGATATATATATATATATATATATATATATATATATATATATATATATATATATATATATATATATATATATATATATATATATATTCATATATGTAGAACATCTTTATATATATAGAACATCTTTTAACATTTTGATACTGTTTTCATTAAATACTTTCATATGACCTTTGAAATACAAAGGAAAGAATGATACAGTGAAAGTCAGTGATTGCAGGGTGGAGGTTCTTTTGCTCTTTTTTGCAAATGGATGAAGGAGCAAACATGTGTTGCCCAAGTGCTGGTCTGTAAGTGGAAACAGCCCCATGTTCTTGACACTGCAAACTTGTAAATGAGTGTTTTATTGTGCAACACATTGATTGTTGTGACACTTGATGATACCACAGTAATAAAGTTACCCTCATTTTTTGGCAAAAATCAGTATTAGATAAAGGGTACACATTGAGGAAAGGCACTCTAATCACCAGAACTAACTGGTCTTTTTAAACATTCATCATGTTCCTCTTATATTTATTAGGGTCATGTGTAACTGGTGATCCTTGGTCTTCAGGAAGGATGCACCCTGCAGTATTTCCTGGTTGTTAAATATTAAAAATTATGTCAAATAACAGTTTGTATGATGTTTTGCCCCTCCCCAACAAATTCATCTTAGTAGGAAGCAGATTTGATCTGGAGCTGTGGCAGATCCTGCCTGGTAACTAGCCATGCTTCTCCCACACAACCTAACCACGGCCTGATTTGCCTGAATTTGGAGACAGGGGTAAGGGGGGGAGTGGCCTGTGGTACCTCACAACTTTGTAGTGCGGCTGCCATGACAACATGTAGGCCTGCTGGCGACTCCCTGTCTTCATCTGCTGTGGTTACTATGGATACGCCCCACGGGAGCTCCCGAGATCAGCGGGATGGGCGTCCAGTCGACTAACCCTCCACCAACTGGGAACAGCAGAGGCAGAGCGGGAGGCGTGTGCGTGAGGGAGCATGTCAGCGCAGAAGACAGACCAGAAGGAAAGACACACGCAGATACTAGTGTGACCTGCTTCTGTCCAACAACATGGACCAGATGAAATGTGTTTTAAAGTGCATTTAATAAAGGAACATGATTTGAACTATGTTAGAGGTTGACCAGTATACTTTATAGAGGTTTGGAAGTAAGAGGGCTACAGAAGGCTGTGTGGAGTGTGGTTGGGGAAAGAAATGGCATCATGGCTCTGGCTCCAATGGCCACTGAGCGTTCAGGGGCTTTTTCTGCTCTGTAATTGCTCCAAGCTGTGTCCTCACAGAGCCCATGTACAGGAAACAGTCTCACGTGTTTCTAAAGGGTGTCTTTTATCAAAGAGTATAAACTTTTACACAAATATATGTTTGCAATGAGATTCAGTTTAGTTACTTTATTTAAGAAAAGGGGAGAAATAAAGTTTATAGTAAACATTTCCAATTTAATGTAAGTGCTGAAAAGTATCTTAAAAATGCTTAGGCTATATTTTACATAGAAAAAAGTGACAAGGCAGTTCTGTCCGTATTGAAGGCAGGAGCTATGTCAGAACATTCTATCTGATTCCAACACTCTACAGTTTGTTTCTCTATTTTACGTGCAATAATTCTTCAAATCTAAAGCTACCTCATGAAAGTGTAACTACACTATGCATCTGAAGTGGTAACCTTTGGAATTACATCTTCTGTATAAAATCTTTTAACACAGGCTTGCTAACAAAGAATATAAAAACTGATAATCAGCCAGGTGTTATTTGTGAAACTCTGAGAAGCAGCCGCCTCTGCATAGGTGGACGTTGCATATCTTGCAGCCAAACACACTCTCATGTCTCAGTCCTTTGTTGGTGCAGTTCCTACAGCGGCGGGAGCGCTCAGACATGCGCTCCAGTCTGTGTCCATACTCTATGGGTGAGTCAGCGTGCCTCTTACGTGCTGCCCGCTCCATGCCCCGGGCCCCCTGATAGTCTCCAATCAGCTGCTGGGCTAGTCGGACCCGAAAGTGGCGCTGAGTGAACTGTTTTCCATTGAAGCCCGTGGGTGGAGTCCCCCCCCGGCTCTCCCTCTGGATGATGTAGGCATTTACTATACAGAGATTGATGTAGAACCAAAGGAAGTAGCGCCACCACTTTTTGCAGGGCCGACCCACCAGATAGCACTCTCTCAGCTGGTCACACAGATCTACGCCTCTCATGTTTTCTTGATACAGAAGCAAGGGCAAAGGTCGGGGCATACCAAACCCAGAGCTATCACCACTGTCACTTTCACCTTCCCCCTCTGCGTCGCTCTGTTGTTTTCCCGGGCTGAT